TGCGATGCGCCGAGCTTGGGGGTTAAAGGGGTCGTCGTCATCGATGTCGTTGTAGTCTCTGTCCCTAGAACAACACGGGGAACTCAGCCAGCGGGGCTGAGGGAGGCCGGAGGCCTGTTCTGCTCTTCCCACCCAGGACGTTCCCCCACTCAACCCCCGGACGGACGCAAGCGTGATCCTCAGCCCCGCCTCACGCAGATCACTCCGCCGCTCCCAACTCCAGGTCCTCCTCCCCCAGGCAGCCCACCATGCTGACTGCAGGTCCTCCCCGACAGTGCACAGAATGCATCTCCCTGCACACCCACGTCTCAGCACCCCACTTTGCAGAGTCCTGCTGAAGAACAGGGGAAGCAAGGGGTGCCAGGCTGCCCTGGGCCCGTGAGCCTTCTTTTGGGGATTGGCTGGACTCCCGGGAAGGGCCCTACAGGAAGCCAGTCGGTGTGCTGCCCTCAACGGCCTTGCTGGTCAGATGATCAGCTCTCCTCTGCTCCCCCAGGGGCCCCCGGTCAGCAGGAAGCCCCCCGTTTTCTGGCAGCCCACCTGGAGGAGAGGTGCTTCCAGGCCCGTGGTCCCGCACAGATGAGGGTGGAGAAGGTCAGGGTGCCCAGGAGGGAGAAGAGGCCGAGGTACAGCAAGCCCTCGATGCCATCATAGCAGATGCCGGTGAGGGCGTCCAGGTAGTCCTGGGGAGGGGCAGGTGGGCAAGAGGTTGGAGGAGGAAGAGCCAGCAGGACCTGCGGCCCAAGCCCTTCTTTGGAAGCCCTTTCCCAGCCTGGACTCTGGGCTTCTGGCCGAAGACATCTCTCACTGTCATTAAAGGTTCCCTGGTGTGGAGTCAGCACCAGGCAGCCTCCTGGGTTCACCCTGCAAGTGTCTCCTGGGCACCTACCGCCTGCCGGGCACCAGGGAGCTGGCTCTGAACCACACAGGGGGTTGTGGGGAGGCACAACAGGGGCCAGGAGGGCAGGAGGAGGGCGTCTCAGGAGACAAGGCCAAGGCACAGGCTGGCCAGCGGGAGAGGAGGCTGGGTCTTACCGCGAGGCAAGTGGAGGTCACCGGAGGGTCTGGGGGTGGGTGGGGGTGGATGGAGCTAATGGACTCATTTTCTAAAGGACCTCTGGCCGCTAGTGTGGAAGGTCTGGGTGGTAAGGGCCAGAGGAGGCTGAGGGGTGCTCTGCCTTCCTGGGGAACAGGTAGGTCCTGCCTGTCACCCAGGGGACCAGGACTGCCCGCACCGTGGGGAAGCTGTGAGGACAGAGTGGGCAGATCCAGGGTTCGCCTGAGCGTGTCCTCGCTGGGCCTTGCTGAGGTGCTGGATGTCAGGGGAGGGAGAGCGGGCACAGGGTGACTCCCATGCTCTTAGCTCCAAAGTCACACGGCCAGGGTCCCAAAGCCAAGTCCCTGACTTGCCAGCTCGGTATCTTCAAGAAGCTACTTCAGCATGTGTCATCCCTCTGTCACCCGAGGCCAGATGGCAAGCTCCTCTGGGGCACCCACCCTCCCCCTCCCTTCCACACCCAGGCACAGTCTAGTTTCCGTATCTAGATCGTGTCCTGGGGAAGTATCTGTGGAAGACCCTTGTGAGGATGAATGACATATGGCTACACAGTGCACGGAACAGGGCTGAGTACTTAATCAATGGCAGCTGTGACAGTTATTCTGCTTACTGGCTCTAAATCCACAGAAGAGGATCACACGCATTGGCTCAGTGCTTGGGGGTGGGGTGGGGGGCACTGGCATATTTCCAGTGTGTTCCCAGCAATTATTAGTTTTGTTTTTGTTTTCTATTTGGGGTTGAACCCAGAAGTGCTTCACCACTGTGCTGATCCCCGTCCTTTTTGTTGTTAGATGGGGCCTCGCTAAGTTGCTGAGGCTGCCCTTGAACGTGCTACCCTCTTGCCCCAGCTCTGGAGTGGCTGGGGTGACAGGGGGGTGCCACCGTGCCCGGCTACCCCCTCCACCGACATTCCAACTTCTTAGAAAGATGATGCTGGCCTTGAGATCAGGACAAGCACTTGCAGCCCAGGAAGATGGGTTCCCAGACGGCCGGGGTCTGGATAAGGGAGAACTGCCTTCTTCAGTGGCCAGGGCCCCAGAGTTCTAAGCTGGGCGACCCTCCTACTCCTGTCCCCACCACCTTTCTTTTGAGGACAGACAGGAGCTCGTTGGAAAAGCGAGAAATGAGGGGCCCTGCGTGTTCTGCCTCCAGGAGAGCAGCGTGGCTCCTGCGGAGTCTGGGGTTTTAAGGATTTGGGGTCCCTTTGTTCTTGCCCCAGTCCCTCACACCCCTGACACGCCGCCCCCAGTACCCACCACTGAGCCACCCTGTCTCAGCCACTGGACAGAACAAAGGAGCCGCACCTCTTCCCCTCCCACTGCCTAGCTGAGGGGGCCCAGGGAGTCTCTCTCCTGGGCCTCCGCGGGCTTCTCTGGGAGACCTGGTTGGGGGGAGCGGCCCATACCCCCCGTGTACCCCCGAGGTCACCCGAGCACCTTGTGCAACCCTCGGCAATCCAACATGGCGGTCAGCTGGTGAAGGCTGGTCTCCGACATGTTCAGCAGGAGCTGGATCCCGAGGAGGTCTTTCTGGAGCAGGCGGGGGAAAGAGGCAGGGAAGGGCGTGGGCTCACAGACCCAAACACAAGGCCCCCGAGCTGCTGGGGGAGGCAGAGCGGGGCACACTCAGAGCCGGCCTGGGGCTCGGGGGGAGTGTGGCGGGGAAGGGCGGTGGGGCCACCCGGCTCCCCTCTTCCAGCATGGATGCTGTGGGCGGCACGGCCTTACCTCCGCCGTGGGGAAGAGGGGCACGGCAAACTGCAGCAGCCCCACCACCTGGATCTGCATGGTGGTCAGCGAGCGCTGGAAGGTGGTCAGCGCCTGGGCGGACAGAGCACAGCCCCCATGAGGCTCCATTTCCCAGAAGCCTATGAGGAATTCTCACCCTGACCAGCACTGCGGGGTAACAGCACCCCAGAGGAGGGGAGTGCATGAGCAACACAGATCTGAACACACAGACCAAGAGCACAGCCCCCTCAGGCAGCTACACAAGGACCAGAGTGAGGCCCGGCCTCCCAGCCTCTCAGCCTCCCAGTCAGTGGTGGGGCTAGGGTTCTAGAGGGAGGGAGGGGACGGAGGGGCTGGGGTAGGGTGAGGGTGTGGTCTGGGTGGCCATACCTGCTGGAAGGGGCTGCTTACACTCTGACCACAGTACAGGTAGTAGCGCGTCACCTCTGCAAGGCAATGACACTGGTGTCAGGCAGCTTGCAAAGGACCAAGCCCTCGACCACCCTCAGTGCGTGAGCTGGGCCTCCCCCACCCACGCTCCCAGTTTCTAGAAAAAGGCCCTGAGGTCCAAGTGGACCTGAAGTCTGGGGCAGGAGAGGTTGGGTGGTGACAGGGCTGAAAGAGGTTCAGCAGAAACACGGCATGGCTGGCCACATGGGCCCGGCCTGAGTGTCCAGAGAGGCCCCAGCAGCAGAGGCCCAGGAGCGCGCATTACCTGTGCTGATGTGGCCCTGCGTGTTGTTCAGGATGAAGGTGTCAGGAGCCACACAGAAGTCACTGGTGCCCTGGGTCAGAGAGAGATGGGAGGGAGTGGAGGAAGGCCAGTCGCTCTGACCCTCGGCCATTCCCAGGGAGAGCAGAAGAGTGGGAGCAGGTTCGGGGGTTCAGTCCCTGCCCCACCCTTCCCTGGCCATTTCCTGGACGGGTTACTTATTCCTCCTGAGCCACGGCTGCATCATCCGTCACCTGGGGACAGTAACTGCACCTTACGAGTGTGTACGGGGGGTTCTGGAAAGTGACCTGGCACGGGACTGCTCATGCCTCTCTGACGCTCAGGGGGTCAGGTGCCCCTGGGCCGGGGGCAGCTGCAGGGCGTGGGGGAGCTCCCTGCACCCCGGCCTCAGGTGCTCATCTCAGTTTACCTTTATTACTATCATCAAGGCCCACAAGCTCTGGGAAGGCTCCCTAAGGAGTGAGGTAACAGATAACCCATCCCAGAGCCTTCAGGGACAGGTCCTCACTGATGAGACAGGGGACAGGAAGGACAAGGGGCTGGGAGTCAGGACAAGCTGGGGACCTGGTCCTTCAGCACGGCCCAGCTAGGTGGCCACAGACCTATGTGGCTGTGCAGCGCAGGCACAGGCCCTAGGAGAGGTGGTGGCACGGATGCCACCCTCTGAGCCAAGCCCCTCAGATCCAGCCGGGGTGCCCCCACTTCCAGAGCAGCCAGGGTAAGTTCCAGTCCTGCAGCCCCCTCTGAGGCACCAACCCCTGGCCTGGTGCACGCTCCTGAGCAGGGACCCCTGCAGACGCCCGCAGTGCCAGGCACCCTGTCGTGCTTCGGGGGCCACTGCCTTGAGGTGCCACACTGCAGGACCCTCACTCGCCGGGTCAGAGGTGGCGAGTACCTACTAGGAACCAGCAGAACCGGCACCGGAAGCTGCACCGGGAGGTCTACAGGTCAGGGGATCCGGGGATCCCAGGGGAGGGAGGGAGGGACAGGAGGGCCCCAGCTGAGGCTCCAGCAGGGACGTGGCTCCTTCCCTTGGGGCCAGGGCTGCTGTTGTGTTGGATAGATGTCCCCCAAGCTCCTGTGCTAACTCAGGACTATTCAGGGGTGAGATGGGTAGATTCTGAGAGTCGCGACCTAATTGGTCAGTTGAGCCAGTGGATGATCAGAAAGGACTTCTGTCCTGGGGGGCAGGCAGCTGGGCGTGGCTGAAGTGGGCGGCTGGGGCGTGCCTTTGGGGGTTATAGGCTGTCCCCAGGTTCCCCCCCCTCTTTCCCTGCTTTCTGGCCACCTCCAAGGAAGCAGCTTCCCTCTGCTCCAATGCTCAGCCTCACCCTGAGCCAGAGATGGGGCTGGCCAGCCTCAGACGGAGACCTCGCAAGCCACCAGTTGCTCCCGCCAGGCATTTTGGTCACAGTGATGAAAAGCTGGCACATCCGGGCTTTAGACCCTTGGCTACTCCAGTCCCGCTCCGGGGGGCCGGCTTAGCCAGGGTGGTGTGGCTGTGAGGAGCCTACGTGTGTGTGCATGTGTGTGTGCGCTCCTGTGTGAGTGTGTACGGCACTCCCCCAGTGGGGAAGGAGGAGGAGGAAGGGCAGGGGAGAGGGAGGGGGCGCCTGGCACAGACGGGGTGGCGGGAGGAGCTGCCAGGACCCGGGAACACTGACCAAGAACCCCCTGGATTTATCCCTCATCTTTGCCTCCCGCCCTCTCAGCTGGGTACCAGAACCCTCTCCAAGTTATTCCCGGGGAAACCGAGGCACGCAGAGACTTTCCTGAGGTTCCACTGCTGGGAAGGGGTGAAGGGGGACGTGGCACAGGCTGGGGGGCTCCAGCGGCCACACGCCTCTGACTGCAGAGCCCCGCCACACTGCTCAGTGGCCCACCCCTTCCTTCTGGGGGCTTCCTCTCCTCTGTCTGAACGGCCCTGCACCTCCTAACGCCCTCGGTCAGGAGGGTCGGGGGGTGAGGTTGGCCCAGAGGCCTGGAGGCTCAGCGCAGCCCCAGCCCCCACTACCCTCCTCTCTTGGCATCTGAGGGCATGGTTTCTTGTCTTCTCCTTTTTCCTCTTTGGTACCAGGGACTGAACCCAGGGGTGCTCTACCACTGAGCCACATTCCAGCCCTTTTTATTTTTCATTTCGAGACAGGGTCCTGCCAAGTTGCCGAGGCTGGCTTTGGGCTTGTGACCCTCCTGCCTCAGCCTCCCGAGCTGCTGGGAGTTCAGGCCTGCGCCACTGTGCCCAGCCGAGAGCGTCATTCCTGGCCCAGCCTCTCAGGGCCTGTGGAGGGCCTGTCCTATGAGGGCCTTGCTGGGGAAGGTGGGGGAAGGGTGGCAGTATCAGTCCTCTGGCCCAGAGACTCTCAAAACAGGGAGCAGGGTGGCAGCGGAGGCCACACAAAAGCTCAGCACAATGACCCCTTGACAGCCAGCGGCCCCCTGCTCCTCCTGGCTCCTCTTCCTATTAAAATGCGGCAGCATCCCCCATCAAAGGCCCTTTCAGCAGGGCCTCAGCCCCCTCCCCCTCCCCCGGCACAAGGGCCTGACTAATGGAATTAGGGACATGGCAGTGCTCCCAGTCCCTGGCATTCCAGGGCACCCGGCTGTGAGCTGAAATCAATCCCTGGGGGTCCCCTGCCCAGGGTGTGGGTGCGAGAAGCCCCCTGGGAGGGGGCCGGCCGGCCCCTAAGGGGCTGCTGGGGGTGGCAAGCTGGAAGTCCCCGGTGCTTCCAGAGGCAGACGCAGCCCCGGATGGGGGGCCGGACCCCGGAGGCCTGCCCGGGAGGCCTCCCTGTGCTTGCTCTCAGACGCTGCCAGGCAGCTGTGCCGGTCACTCTGGCCCGGGGGCCCCCTCGGCTCTGTTTACAGCCCTCTCGGCTCACAGGGGAGCTTTAGGCCACACTGGCCTTTCCTGCCCCAGGCCTGGGGATGTGGCCATGGCACGCAGGAGGGGACAGGAGGCATCCACTTCCTTCCCACAAGATGCAGAGTCAAGTGGCACCAGGAGCCATTGATTGGGTGGGCCTCGTGGAGGCCAAGTGCCCACGGCCAGAGCTACTGGGCAGTCCCTGAGACTCTGAACCTGCTGTGAGCGTGGGCTGGGGGCGTCCATCACAACCCGGGGCAGGACGCCAAGGTCTCAGGGCCTTCATCTGAGGCCCTGGACTCAGGGAGGGGTCCTGTGAAATCCTCTGGTACCTGCCACCCCTCCAGCATCTGTGTCCACACAGGCACACACACACACACACACACACACACACACACACACACACACACACACAGGAGTGTGCACACAGCTGTCGGGTCCATCAAAGTCCAGATGTACCTTCATAGGAGCCCCTGATTTAATGACATCTTGAGGGACCAGGAAATACCCAGGTTTTCGAGCCACAGCCCCACATTCCCCAGGCCCAGCCTGAGCTAGAGAGCCCGACCCGGTTAGCTCCTCACACCCACACAGAAGCGACCGGCCAGCACGAGCCTCACAAGCACTGGCGTCCGTCCTGTCCTGGCTCTGTCCCTAAGTGCCCACCCTTCTTCCCTCCTGTCCTCTCGTCCTGAGATTCTGGGATGCTAGGGGAGGGGCCAGGGCAGGAAGCTGGCCCGGCCTGGGGGTTCTCAACAGGACCCAGCACCAGAGAGACCCTCCCCACTGCCCCACTCACCACTGCCGCGGCCGAGTCGGCGGCCAGGGAGGCCCAGCTGAGGAGCAGCGCCAGCACCCCGCCGCACAGCGTCCTAGAGAGAGGCAGGGGCATGGGTCCTGCAGGGTGGCAGGCGGGGTCCCCTGTGACAGCGTGCACCCTGTTTCCAGCCCCCTTCTTTCTAGCTGCTACCCCACGCAGCCACAGCCCTGCGAGTGCTGGACAGCCTCATGGGGCCCAAGGCCTAGAGCAGAGGTCCTGGGCTAAGGGACCCAGCAGAGACGGCAGCTAGGAGGTGACACTGGACAGAGAGGACGGGTGCTGGGCTTGGACCTGCGCTCTTCCAGCTGCCCCACAATCAGACCCACAAGGGAGGGGACCCACGGGAGCCCCTGCAGGCTATCCCCACCCCCTGCCCCCCGGCTGGGCGCAGCCAGGCCCTGGCCTCTCTCTGCTAGTGGCACCTGGCCCAGCTCTTTGTCCCAGGCCCATGGACAGGGCTACTCACGAGGCCAGGAGACACTTGGAGCGCTTGGCCAGTCCCAGACAGGCGATGAAGCAGATGACCAGGTCCAGGATGAAGAGCAGGAGGTAGGAGAGCCACCTGGGAGGACAAAGAGGGACGGTCAGGCCAGCGAGGCAGAACCCCCACCTGCTGCCCACCCTGGAGTCCCTGCTTGCTGGACCCTTCCCTGAGACAAGCTTCCTGGAGCCTTGGGCCTCCTCTGGGTGGGCACCAGGCCCCGGAAGCACCAGGACACACACTCTGCGAGTCAAGGCTGCCAATTGGCCAGGAGTCACCCTACCACCTGGACTGCTGCTTCCTCCCTGGACTTACAGACCCCCCGCCCCCGGAGGGAGGGAGGCCAGCCTCAGTCTCTGGCCTGTGCCCAGGGACTTCACCTGGGATGGGGAGTCAGGAGACATGTCAACGGACCCCCCAAAGCGGGAGGACGGAGGGCGGGGCTGCGTACCTCACGGGGCGGGGCCTCCCCGTGCCTCACCTGTAGTACTCCACGTAGCCGGTCTGGTCAGACAGCTCGGTCAGCTGTGTGGTGACCTCCCTCCACACGGGCAGTCCTGAGAGCTGGGTGACGATGCTGCCTGCCATCTGCTGCATGAACTTCAGGGTCTGGATGTAGTCACCCCGGGCAGCAAAGAGCTCGTTGAGCCGGGCCAGGTGCTGCTCCAGGTCCACCTGCAGCTTCTGGGCATTTTCAGACACCTAGGGAGAGGCGGGGCTCAGGGCTGGCCCTTGGTGGGTGGGCAGGGGGAGGTCTCTGCCAGCTGACGGCTACCAGGGCCAGCCCTGAGGAATCCATGAGGCTGCTCCCCCGGAGGAGGGACTGGACACAGAGGCCCCGTCACCATGGATATAGAGGCCCCGTCACCACAGATATAGTGGGAGCCTACAATGTCCCCCAGTGGCCCAGGTGCAAGGCTTGGTTCCCAGTTTGGCGATCCTGCGGGGAGGGGGTGGAAACTCTTGGTGGGAGGTCTTGGGGTCACTGGATGCACGTCCTTAAAGAGGACAGCAGGACCATGGTCTCTCTTTTTTGCTTCCCAGCCAGGAGGGGAGTGGCTGGGTCCCACCATGTGCTTCCCAACACACTACTCATCACGGACACAAAACCAAAGCGGGCCAGGAAGGGACTGAAACCTCCCAAACCGAGCCCCCCCAGCCCCTGTCTCTTTATAGACATCTCAGGTGTCTTAAGTATGCAAAGGTGCTTTCAAGCAGCCAGGCCCAGGGCCACAGCCTGGTGGCCTTGAGCTCGTGACAGTAAGCTGGCTAACACACCACCCAGCTCCTCGGACCAGGCAGCAGGCCCTGCTCTGGCCCTACCAGGGCTGGACTCCAAGATCCAGCGCCTTCATCCAGGTGGACCGTCCCTAAACTGAAAGTCCTAAACTTCTTAAAGCTCGAGCAGCCGAGTCTATGCACATATCCCAAAATATGGGGGGAACAAAACAACCCAAGTCCCAAACACTTCTGGTCCTAAACGTTGTGGATGAGGGATATTCCATCTGTGTCAAGAAGACTCCAAGGGAGAAACAATGATCCATTTTCCTTCCTTAAAACACTTGGGATCATGAATTCTCTTTTACAGAAACAGAGAGTTTAAACTGAAGCACTCGATGTTGCCACCTGGACCTTCTCCCCACAGCAGGATTCTAACTGCCCTGCAAGAGGGGGGCTCTGTGGTGGAGCAGGCCCGGCTCCCGGCAAAGGCAGAACAATGGGACTTTGAAAGGACAAAGACAGATGCCGTCCTCCTCTGAAGGGCCTGGACAGGAGGCGGCAGGAGGAAACCGGCGCCTTCTCTGGGTGCTTATTCCTTCCTGGACAGACGTCCTGCCAGGTGTGTGGACAGGCTCCAGCCCTAGGCAGGGGTGGGGGGTGCTGGAACTGTGGTTCTCAAAGGGTGGTCCCTGGCCAGTAAGGGCCCTAAGGGCTTGCAGATGAGTGGACCCCAAGGAAGCATCTGTCTGTGCAGAGGTAGACATGGGAGGAGACGGCGGTGACTGTCCTCGCTGTGACTGTCCTTCAAATAAGGGGCACAGCTGGGCTTGTATGCAAAGGTGCTTTTAAGTAGCCCAGGCCCAGGGCCACAGCCTGGTGGCTTTGAGTGCGTGCCTGTGGCACCTGCTCTGGGCCATGTGTCAGTCAGCAGCTGGGCTGGAAGGGCTTTGTTGTTCTGAATAGCCCCAGAAGCACAGTCTCGGGCAGCAGTGGGCAGCGGGGCGGGCAGCGGGCAGCTGTGCTAATCCTCAACCTGCAGCCTGCGGCTCCCAGAGGCCTGGGAGATAAAAATGAGGCCGAGGAGGGGCGGAAGGTTCCCCAGGGAAAGTGTGGCCACGAGCGTCCACGTTACTGGCCTTGTGGCTTTTTACATCTGCCCCGCACTGTGACTTCCGGGTTCCAGAAGAGAAAGGCCCTCTTTGTTTCATTTTGTTCTGTTTTCTCAATGTCAGTGTCCTGTTCGTTAGTTTTCTGGCTTGTGCCTGATTCTAGGAGCTGGTAAAAGGACCAGGGGACACCAAGATAGAACTGGGCACTGGAGAGACCCTGCAGCTTGTAGCTTCACACAGGAGGAAACCCCAAACCCTATCAAAGCAAGTTCAGTAACCGAGCACCAACCTGCTGAGCTTCCGCCCAATTTCACAAGATAGAGACAGAGGCTTTGGACCACGGATACAAATGACACTATCTATCCTTAAATGGCAAATGATGAGCAAACCCAGTCCTACGCACTATATCAAACTTGAGAGCAAAGGGCTATTGTTAAAAATCACCTGAAAACTTTCCCCCAAGTCCACTTTTTTTTTAATACTTATTTTTTAGTTTTAGGTGGATGCGATATCTTTCTTTTATTTCTATGTGCTGCTGAGGATGGAACCCAGGGCCTCACACGTGCGAGGCGAGCTCTGCCACTGACCACAGCCCCAGCCCCCACGTCCACTTTTTTTCCTTCTCCCCAGCCCTGGATTTCTAACTCCTCTACCTCTTAAACCCCTCTTTGAAAATAAAACACACAAGGCAGTGAACAGCTGTCAGGCCTGTCCTTCCTCTTGCTGTTTTCCCCGTAGGAAACAAAACAAAATTAAAAATAAAATTGAAATCACAGCCCTGACCTACTTACGGGCCGGCCTTCCTCCCACTGAGCCCAGTTCCTGCACCCCCTCCCAGGGAAGCAGAGGTGAGTCGCCTGAGACGGAGCTCTGAGAGCCAGAGGGGCAGCGCACACCCCTGCTAGGCAGGCTGGGGACCAGCGACAAGTGGTGGGAACTGTGTGTCACAGGCTGGGACAGTGGTTCTCAAAGCGTGGTCCCCGGCCAGCAGTGTCACCCAGGAGCTCCTAACAAGTGCAAGGCCTCAGCCTGCCTCCAGCTCCCAGAACCGGCAATGCAGGGCTGGGCTCCGGCCCGACAAGCCCTCCTGGGGGTTCGGATGCAAGTTCAAGTTTGAGGACCTCTGGGAGGGAAAAGCCCCTCAACTTGGCAAGGTTACCTGGGAGTGGCCGGCCAGGGGTAGAGGAGGCCGAAGGGGTCCATCTCAGACCATGAAGACCAGAGGCAGGAGGGAACAGGGCCAAGAGGAGCCTGGGAAGACCTTGCTGGGAAGGGACACGCTCTCAGCCCCCAGAGCATCCACCTCCCAGCGTGTCCCCTCAGGGCTGCCCACGATCTGCCTCAGGGTCATTGGAGGAAGCCACACTGGCCACCGGATCAGGGCACAGAAACCTCTGCAGTGGTGCACTCCTGTAAGCCCAGCAACTCAGGAGGCCGAGGCAGGGGGATTGCAAATTTGGAGCCAGCCTCAACAACTTAGCAAGACCCTGTCTCAAAATAAAAAATTCAAAAAAAAAAAGAAGAAGAAGGACTGGGAATGGAACTCGGGGGCAATGCGCCCCGGGGTTCCATCCCCAGGACAAAATGAACCGACCAGCGCCAGTACAAGTCTGCGAGGCACGGGCTGCAGGGCCAGCTTCACCCTAGAGCCCACTAAACCCCGAGGGTGAGGGCCTGGGCCTGGGCCCTGGGGTAGGTCTGGGAATCATTCCCCCCACCAGGTGGCCGGATGCAGGGACTGGTCCACGTCCCTTGGCTCCTGCCCACCCAGCATTCCCACCTTTTCTGAGCCCCCCATCGGGGCAGGCAGCTGGCCTGGGCCCCTGTGAGGTGCCCCAAGCCCCGCCCCACAGGGTGGGGTTCCAGCAGAGGACGTCCTGGGCTGTTGGGGACAGTCCCACCAGGCCTCTTGATGGCCTGAGTTGGGCTCCAGCAAGGCCCAGGCCCAAGTTGCCCAACCTGCCCTCAAGCTCCCCACCCTGCCGCTGCCACCCCCAGCCTCCCCCAGCCCCTTTCTACTCCAGGGTGATTACCGCCATTACTATAAGGACCCTCCTTATCTCAGCGATCCTGTGGGAGGGCCTTTCTAGTTCACCAGACCCCCTCACCAACTTTAATCACCGACACCACTTCTCTGATTCCCGGGTTCCAAGATCTGCCGCCTCCCCCAGGCCCCCGCCGTCTGGGACCCCCCCAGGAGCAGGGGAAGCCAGTCAGAAGCAGCGCCCCGCTGGCTGGACCAGGCCCAGGCCCGCGTCCCCGGTCTTCAGGAACGGTGGGGAGGGCGAGAGGCGCAACTTGAGGGCACAGGGGATCTGAGAAGGGGACCCAGACCTGGCCACGCAGGACTCAGGCCTCGGGTCACGCCCAGATATCCCCGAGCGTCCCCGTCCCTCCTGGAGGACTCGGTTTTCCTCTCAGGGAGGTTCAGCCCGTGAAGGTCAAGGCCACGGGGCTTTCCTGGGCCAGGGCTCTCATTTCCGGCCTGGGCTCCTCTTCCAGGGGTGCTGGCGCTGAGGGGTGGGGAAGGGGACGGAGCAGGACGCCAAGAAAGGGAAGCTGGGCAGAGGGCAACCACCACAAGACCTCCTTCCCACCAGGCCTCTCGGTGCTGACCAGGCGGCGCCCAGTCCCAAGCAGCTGACCCTCAGCTCTTCCACCCCAGCCGCAGCCCAGCACCCAGACACCAGGGTGTCAGCTGTCTCCCAGAAACCAGTCCAGGGGACACGAGGGGAGGACGGGGAGCCTGGGAAGGGTCCTCCTGGCGGCCAGAGGCTGCCCCCCCGCCCCCCCCGCCTGTCCTGGGCATGAGCAGTGGCTGCTGTCTCTTTAAGGTGAGCCTGGCCCTGGGATGGCTGGGATTACAGCCTTAGAGGAGCTTAAGGGAGCAGGCCGAGGGGCTAACGAGGTCAGCCCTCTTCCCCGGATGCTGGGCAGTGACCGATTCTCCAGTTAGCGCTGGGCTCCGTGGTTGAGGCTGCTTGACACGGATGGGCACTTTGTGGCTGTCACCCCTTTGCTGGGGACCTGACCCAGACAGGATCAGGAACGGGCAGATGCCCGCAGACTGGTTTCCCTGAAGGCGTCCCTCTGCCTTCGTACCAGCGCCTGGTTCTCGGCCAGCACCCGGGGCTGCCCCAGGATGGGCCGGAAACCAGCAGAGAAGACCCGGCACGCACAGGGCAAGGGACAGGCACACGGGGTCAAGGTGGAAGTGGAGGACCGCGATCCCTCACCCTCAGTGTCTGGGGCTCAGAGGAGAAGCCCCTCCCTTCCCCCCGAATCCAGCTTCTCTGGCCAGCCCAGCCAAGTCCTTCAGACGGGAGCCCCAGACAGGCCACAGGGGAAGCCAGAGCCCTGAGGACATGCTACAGGGTTTTAGGTGGAATCTCCCCCCTCCCTGGGGTACTGGGGATGGAACCCCGGGCCTCACCCCTGCAGAGAGGTGCCTTGCCCCTGAACTGTACCCCAGCCCTCCCTCCCTCCTTTCCTTCAATTTATATATTTATTTATTTTTGACACCAGGGATCGAACCCAGGGGCATTCAACCTCTGAACCACATCCCCAGTCCTTGTAATTTTTTATTGTGAGACAGGGTCTCGACAGGTTGCCTAGGGCCTCACTGAGTTGCTGAGGCTGGCTCTGAACCCGCTATCCTCCTGCCTCGGCCTCCTGAGCCGCTGGGATCACAGGCCCTTCTCTGTGTCTAGGTTTTCCCCCTTGACATCTCCTGGACCCCCCAGGACACCGTGTGCAGCCCTTAAAGAGAACATTAAAAAACGCAGGGGCTGACTTCCCAAGTCCCAGGGGGAAAGGTGACCAGCAAATGGGAAAGCGTCCAGCTCCTGAATATGAATGGGATCTGACCCCCAGCCGCCCCGAAGTCCCCCTGGTCTGGGAAACAACCATTGCTCATTCGCCACAGGCAAGGCCCAGAGGGGAGGCCTGCCCTGGGTCCCTGCCCAGGCCCACCGCGTGCAGCGGGCTGCCCAGCACGCCTGTCCTGGCCACACTGACCCATCGGTGTGTCCGTGCGGGGACCACTGCCCGCGGGCCTTACCAGTTCGTCGATCCCAGAGAAGGTGTGGTTGGCGTTCTCCAAGGAGTAGATGAGCTGGTGCGCCCCGTCGTGAGTCTCGCTGTTCCCATAGAAACCTGCACCCACCGCAGCACTGCCAAGGAGACCCAAGGTTAGTGGTGACACCCAGACCGAAGGTTGGAGGTGACACCCAGAGGG